ACCGCCCGCATCTGACTGGCAGTTTTGAAGCCTGCGGAGGGAATGCGTTTTTGCGCAATTTTTCATCTTTTTTCATTTTCTAAGTGGCCCGGGTGATCTGGGCAAAATCCGACGATTGCTTCCGCCCACGTTATGAAGCAAATTTTTGCCATTTTTTTCCAACTTTTTCCAGTTACGAAGCGGCCCAAGGCTTCCGAACAGGTCGCGGACCTGCTGCTCCAACGCAGCTGCCCAGCGGGCGGAGCAAAAAACAGTCCGTCTCTTTTTCAGATATCAAGTGGGCCAAACCGCAAAAATGCTCTTTTTCACCTTCTCCCGCTTGGTTTCTGCCGTTTTTGCGACATTTTTGCCCTCCTGGCCATTTTCCCATCTGGTCCGCTTTTTTTCCCTTCTCCCGCTTCATTTCTGGCCATTTCCCTGACCTTCACGCCTCCCGGCGGTTGCCCTATATGGTAACGGCAACTGCCTTCGCGTTCGCGCTGCGTTTGCTAAGCAATATCGCAAGCGCGCAGAGCGCGCGCGCCGGCTTCGTGGGCCGGCGCGCGCTCTGCGCGCGCGCACGCATTTGGTTACCAGATAAAGTTTGTATTTCATGCATGACCAGCGGGAGGGGTGCGATTTGTGCTACACGGACAGGGCATTTCTCATCCGGAAGGTGCACCAGAAAGCCCTCTAAAAGTCTGCGATGCGAGGTCATGAGTTTGAATTTGAATTACAGGCATCATGGGTCATGAGAAATATGCATGACAAATCTTGCATTCTTCCTGACCCAGAGATTTTTGCATGATTTGATAGCATCACGATAAAGATGTTGAAGTGCTTGATTCCCGCTCCCGGCCCACACGTCCATACCCCACACTGTCGGATGAAATTTGGATGCTTCAGAACTGTCATCGCGTTGATCTCCCGCTGCATGCGCACACATTCATTGTAGGTGTAATTTCTCTTGAATTCCATTCGCTTGACAGCAAACTTTTCCTGCACCTCGTACACCGTTCCGTATCCGCCCTCTCCCAGTTTTTTCAGCTTTTTCCCCAGTAGTCCTTCTGGTACCTCCAGGAGCTCCATGGACAAATTTCCATCTTTTGCATCCTTGTTGTGTACGTAAGCGCGATAAAGCTTCGTGTTCTCGCAGTCGTGATTTTTAGTGTCTCTCCCCCACGTTTCCGCGACCATCAACACACGCTGGCACTCGTCCTCATCTTTACACTCGAAAGGAAAAATCGTGCCGGGATCCCGTGTATGCAGTGCAAAAAAGCGAGGCAGTGATTGTACTAGTGTAGTAATCCTAATCGTAATCCAATTGGATTTGCATGACAAAGTGGCGAAATCGGAAAACGAAATTTCTATATTATCGATGCCGATGCGGCTTAGGAACAAGGATATTTGTTTTTGATGCATGACTCGTTGCAAATGGAAATGCGATTACTACCGGTAACAGCCAGATCCTTTCGCAATTGATATCGTGGGAGTGGCAGCTCTTCCCGCCCGGTCATGGTGGCGTGGGCCTGCTGCGCAATAAATCTACTTCCTCCAAGGACTTCCACCAAAGCCGTTGTTCAAGGCGGAAGTGTTCTTCTAGAGAATGAGAAGTCGGAGGGAGAAGATTCTCTGAAGATCCTGATCATAGGAAGACGTGTGCACCATTTTCATGATGATCTCCGCACGATGTCATGTAAAGAGAAGGTGACTGTTGATCCTTGCGTGGCTAGAGCAGAAGCGAAGAGCTACAGGGACAGAAAGCTGCAACAGGCTCGCCGATCGGGAGAAGGACTCGCTGTTCCTGCTCGGTCAAGAAAGTTACTTGTTGTGTAGTTGTAGTGGATGTGTCGTTCTCGTGTGAACCGCTCGATTGTTCCCTGGTGGTCCTAGCTGTCTAGGTCTTGTTGATGTCGTCACCGTAGAAACAGACACGGGCAGGATCACGATCGGTCCTCTTTACTTTTTACTCGGGCGTCTTTTCGTATTCACGTCGGCGCTTAACAGTTCGTTGGCTGTATTCGTACTAGGAGAGAAGGTAGAGACCTTCTAGCGAAGTAGACTGCCACCACGCAATGTAGTTTGATAAGCGCCGGCTTTACTCAGAAAATCTTCCAACACGAATCTCGTCGCGAGACATCTTCTTCTTCACATGTTAGCGCCCAGTTTCCACCCGCCATGTGGTACCACCACCCTGATCCTCTACTTTCGTAACCATCGGAAGGTAGAAAAAGTTGTTCAGACTAACGATAACTACGACGCTGGTGCTTTATATATAAATGTTTTCTGTTTCGTCCTTGCGGAAGGTGTTGGTCTCGGTCGCTTTTGCTTTGCAAAAAGTTCTTGCCTGCTATGTGTCTATAATCGGAAAAACCTGTGGTTTTAGCGGTAGGATGTACCACCGACCTCTCTCCGTCTCTCATAGATGTTATGGCGGAATCAATGGTGGGGCCAAGAAAAAAAAAGCTCTACACGAAGACAGACAAGGAAAACCGAAACAGAAGACCGAATGGTAGAAAGACGTAGACACACGAAAACAAAAAAACAAATATAGAAATATCCTCTTCGTCGGCGTAGCGGTTATTTGCTGTGTTTCTCAGGAAAACTGCCCCCCCGCCATCAGGACATCTCACCCCCCTCTGCCGCCATCAGGACATCTCACCCGCCATCAGGACATCTCACCCCCCTCTGTTCAGCCTCAAACATAAGAGAGTTGCATTTCACTCGAAGTAGAACAACTGGCTCGTTGAAGGTCTTGTCGAGAACCGCGCTGCTGCTCAACAAAGTCAATATCTTTCATACTCACAGGAAAGTGATACAGTAGCTCTGTTCTTTCGAATCTGATCGTATACAGTGTCACATTTTTTTGGTCCTGCATCTACTTTTGGGAAAAAAATAAAGGCATAGCTGCGTGTGAGTTGTAAACGTAACTGCTCTATCACGTTTCCGCCTTCGCCAAAACCTTGTCGTGGTTACTTACGCAGCCTCGCAACAGTCCTGTGGCTTCTGGAGGTTATCGTTGTGGGCATATCAATAGACCTGTTTCTTTGTCGTTGCGCTTCGATGTCGATCGAATTGCCAGGACAAAAAATTGCGTTTTTCTCAGGAGGTTCGCACGTACTCTATCTGTATGTCGAGCAGCTCTAGCTCTACTAGTAAAATAAACTTTGAGCGCATATGTTTTTCCGTTTGGTTTGAAAATTTGCAAAATCTGACGAAGATGAAGGTAAAATATTTCGTTGCTGAAACGAGTTTCACAGGGTTGAGCTCGTTCCTTTATTTCGCCGAATGCAACATAGTGAGTGTAGGAAAGCTCTAATCGATAAAATTCACGTTGTAAACCCTGACTGTGGATGAACTAGTACTAGACAGACTTGCAGTTTTGCACTGAGCCATCAAGTGGACCCAGCTATTGCTATTGGTAGTTGTTTTCCAAGAGTCACTGTCATTCGATTTCTCAAAAAAGTAGCCTGGCTCTGGTCGTTGTTTGTACACGAATATATATTTCTTTTCCACGTTTTTTTTCCAGTACCTAGTTACACAAAGATTGGCATGAGCTACATTTACATCATCGACCACGCTTCTAGCGTTTGAATGATCTTCGAGTTGATCTTGAAAAAAGAGATAAATGCGAAGCAGCGACGTCGACCTACTTCACACCCCCATCTCTAGAAAATGAAATACTTACATCAAAAGCACAAACCTGATGCAACCCGAGGTTTCCGTTGCGCGTGATGATCGACAACTGAATCTAAAAACCACACTGATGAAAACTCAAACGACGAATATTTGTATTGGATGAAAGTTAGTAGTAAATGTAAAGAATGAGAAACGCCAGCTAATCGAAAAGTGTGTCCCACTCGTCGATGTTAATCGAAAAGTGTGCACCTTCGGCCCTCACCTGGCGCACGTTGCTGTTTTCTTCAGCAAGATCTTGCACATCCCTTCTCCTCACTGCCATGAACTGCTGATGACCCCATCTTTTGTCTTCGATTTTGCTCAGTACCGAATCTCCCGACTTTTGCAGTTTCCCTCTCCAAACAGAGGTCCACATGTCCCTATTCCACTTCCGCAGGTCGTTCAGTTTCTCGTCGTTTTTGTCCTCACGGGTCACCAAATCGATTTCGATTATTCCCTGCTGGTTCTCGGCCCGCCCCCCGTTCTGCTTATGGAAGCGTCAGGTTTGAAATCGTCAAAGTTGAAAAATTTGTGATGCATAAAATCGATACCAGTTGGACGCCCAATTTCTAAGCGGTGCATGACAAATTTCGGCACCGTCAAAATCCAGTTTGTCATGCTTTTTAGCGAAAGAAGGCATCCTTTGTCATGCCACTTTAGCAGCTCCATCCCAAACCCGAAACAGGCTCACAATCGGCCTCACTTGCAATCCCTGCAAGACAGTCTTTTCGTGCCTTGTATTTTATGCATCACAGATTATTTCAACTTTGTTGATTTCAATCCTGACACGTCCATAATTCTCGACAAATTCGTATTCCTTTTTGTCGATAATGTCCGAGAGGAAGAGTTTCTTCATTTCCCCGTTCCCGGATCGGTAGATGAAGTAGTCCTCTTTCTTGTTGGGTTTGCGCGAAGCCAGTTCCTTCGAGGGAATACGACTGATCTCCTTCACGACGTAGTCTCGGACCGGAGCGGCAGCAGAGGGACCAGCTGGAGCTGGTTGTGGTGGTGGTGGTGCAGCCGCTTTCGATAAAGAGTCTCCTGTGAGTTTGTCTTTGTTCATCTTCTGCTCTTCGTCTATCTTGCGCTTCTTGGCACTAGCGGTGCCGCCGAGGGCGAGAGGCTGCTCTTGCTTTCCCTCATTCTGGTGTGATTTTGCAGTCACCTCCGCGGCTTTGTTTTTGCTGTTGTTCATGGCTGCAAGAACATTGTCGCTGCTACTTGCTGATAAAGCGGATCCAACCGCTCCTGCCTGTTTGGAGGAAGAGTTTTTCTTGTTCTGCTCCTGTTGTTGTTTGTCCTCGGTACCGAAGGGACCTTCACCCGCGTCCGCTGGGTTTAGTTTTTGCTTCTTCATCTTGTCGTGCTATGCAGCGCAAATCAAAATCTCTTGTCTGCGTCCGAATGTTATTTTTCGAGAGCAATACAGCAACACCTCCACCGAGATGTATTTAGAATTCTTTCCAAAACAGATCGAATCTCTACTACAAAAAATTCATGATAGCACCAGCGATCTATGGCGACCGTGGAGAAGAAAAGAATCGCAAAACCATCAAAACTTCCAAACTGTTCATCGAAAGGACGCAGACAAGCTCTCACTGCTTGTGGAAGATATTTTGTTCTTCAAAGCTTCAGCGTCGGTCCCAGAGGTTGCCTCGGGATTGCTCGTCAGGAGATTACTAGTGCCACGACTACTAGCTGCACCACTCGCGTTGTTGCTGTCAGAGAAGCCCTGCTGCGTCTTGCTTCCTGGTGGCCCGTCCTGGTGTTCTTGTTGTTGTGAATGCACGTAGATGTCGGCGTCGTTGAAGGTCACTCCCTTGTTCCGCTTTTTCATCTCACCGGATTGCCCTAGTAATCCACCGGCTGCGGTTTCTTGCACGCTGTTCTGGTTCGATTTCTTCCCCATGAACGGCACCTCCTTCTCTTTCGACGGCTTTAGTTTATTTATATTTTTTTTGTCGTCGACTAACAAATTCGAAGAGCCAGCTCCTGCTGCAGCTACACCGGCGCCCGGTAGAGTATTATGTTTTATTTGATGCTGGAGGAGGAGTCCGTCGGGGTCGAAGTCTTGCTGATCTTTGTTGCTCTCGTCGTGTTTGTGTCCCGGCCGCTTCAGAATCCCGGCGGGTGCTCCACCACCACCTGGGTGTTCTTTATTGGAGACTTCAGCAAGGCCGGGCTTCTTCGACGAGAGATTGTTTTGCAGCGACGAGGAAGTTTTGTTTGCCAGGAGGTCTTTGTCATTGTTTTGCCTCAGGAGAGAGGAACCTCCAGCTGCAGCTATGTCGATAGCATTCCTGCTACTACCCGCTGCCGCGCTCGAGGAACTGCCCGCCACACCGAAAATCGCGTTTCTCGGATTGATGGGATTGCGATGCGGTTGCTGCGAATTTGATTTCAGGTTGTCAGGGAAGTTGAAAAATCCACCAGCAGACATGTTGGAGGGGCTATTGAAAAATGCATGTTGATCCTGGTGACCACTTCTTCCCGCGCGGCGGCCACCCAGTGTTCCTCCATCCAAACTTTCGCAAAACGGCAACAGGGCGTCGCAAAAAACGTCGGGGTCCCGGGTATCTATCGACAGGGTCTGGTGTTTTACCATCTCCGTCAGCCAGTTTTGACCGCACTGAACCATCAGGTCAGTGGCTTGGTCTTCGTCGCCCTCTGTCAGGTTACAGACTATGGCAGACTATCAAATGCAAATATGTCTCGGTCTGGAAGGTAGTTCTGAGACTTGTCATGCACGTTTTGCATGAGTCATGATCTTGTAATCCACGCCACAGCATCAGAGTTTTTTGGAATGCTTCGTTCTTGATGCCTATTCGTTCCGCATGACAACTCCCCTCTCCGCGTAGCAAAAATTGCACTCCCTTTGCTTCTCATGCAATACAGATTGATTTTTTGGGAAACCACATGTAGCATCACAAGTTGCTTTCTCCCAGACCCAGACACATTTGCATTTGATATGGACCACAGGTCGTCGAACTCTCGGCTTAAATTCTCCTTCGGCGCTTATGGCTCTGTCAGGATCGAAATCGACAAAGTTGTTGAAATGATTTGCCACGCATAAAACGGATGCTATTTGTAACCCAGTTTTCAAGTGACGCATAACAAATCTGGGCACAACCGCAATTCAGTTTGTCATGCTGTTTTGGTAAGGAAGACGCCTTTTGTCATGCTACTTTAGCAGCTCAGTTTCTATCCCTCAAAAGGCTTACTTACATGCCTTCTTTGCCTATTCTGCAAGGCACGCAGGCTGTGGGCTGCATTGCTTTTATGCGTGGCAAATCCCTTCAACTTTGTCGATTTCGATCCCGACACATCCATAGCGCTTTCCAGTAGTCAAAACGGAAGTCCGGGGCAAACCAGGGCTTGCTTTCGTCTTCGATTATCGTATCCACGTCCACCTGCCGTGACCGCGGCTGGATGTCCGCCACAAAACCCACATCATCCTGCTCGCGCATCGTGATGTTCGACTCTAAAAAATGTCCGCCATCGAAGTCGCGGAACTGCTCTTGCGAGGAAACGGGATTGAAACCGCTGCGGAATTTGTACAGCGTAGCCAGTTCGTTCGCACAGTCGGACAGCGGCAGCCGTGGCTCCGACGTGATTTGCACCTTCTGCCCGATCATCAAGTGCAAAAATGTCTGGGTCTGGAAGATTGCCAGGTTTGTCATGCATATTTTGTATGAGAATGATGCATGATGCCTGTAATGCATGATCTAGCAACACAGATTTTCAGAGGGCTTCCTAACGTCACTTATTTCCGCATGAGAAATGCCCTCTCCGCGTAACGCAAACTGGACTCCTATGTTGCTGGTCATGCAATACAGATTTTTTTGGAATCGAAAGACAGCATCACAAGTTGCAAACTTCAAGACCCAGACATATTTGGAATGCATACCGATCGCCGCGCCGACATTTGGGCAGGACACGTCCGGGAGCGCGCCGTTGCAGTGGTTGGCAAAACAGTCCAGATTGTGTATGGGGCCCATTGCCTGGAAAAACGCAGCGTGGGAGTACTTTTCGATTTCGACGTACTTTTTTGGAACCAGGACACCACCGTGATGTTCCACGAGATTTTTTCCGTCGTCTGCATCATCGCCGTGAGAGCCGCCGTCGTCATCCTCCTGCCGAAGTAGTTTTTCCTGTTTATTTTTCCCGGCAGTGTTCTTGTTCGTCTTCGATTTTTCTTCCTTTTCGTCAGCGACCTTGATGTCCTGCTGCTTTTCGATTTCATTTTCTGACTTTAGCAAATCATCCTCCTTGTCCTGGACTGCTACACCACCATGCTGCTTCGCCTTCGCCTCGGCCTCCTTTTTTTCCACTTCTTCCGCTTCCCGCAGTTTTTCTACTTCTTTTTTCTTCTCCTGTCTTATCCACAAGAAATTTACCGCCTACAACAACCTGGACGTGCTAATAGCGACGGTTGGAGTGCTGCATGACGAATCCTCATCGACGGCATTAGAAGTAACGGTGTCCTGCAGCTTTGTAAGTATTTCTATTTGCGTTCACATCAAAGCTTTTTGTCATGCGCTTTGTACGCTGTGGTGGCATAAGTGCGGTAAATTTGTGTTGCGTAGCCCTGGCGAGCATTATGTCCAGCATCTCGTCGATGCTGTAGATCCGGCGATCTCGTTATCCACCCAGAAAGAAGAGCTAGCAGTAGCGCGCCATATTTGTGATGCGCACATCAAATTCTGCATTTGAAACTCAACAAAATCAGAAAGACTGTCTCGCATGACACGGCAATTCGAATGCAGTAGACAATGCCCAGTACCTGGCGTCACTTTATTCTTTGATGTCCTCTACCTCAGGTTTAATAGTAGCAGAAGCAGGTGCGTAAGTTTGCACTTCTTTTGCATCACAGATATGATGCAGAGGACGCACGACTAGCTCTTTCTGTGAGATACCTTCCAGTTCAACTGGAGCATGCTCAACGCGATCTCTGTCAAAGCCGCGTCTTGTCTCCTTGCTTTTTGCACCAATTCTTCTGCCTGCTCTGCAAACTGCTTGTAGTCCTCTTCTTGCTGTTTTTTGAACTCCTCTACCTCCTTTTCCAGTGCGTTTTCGAGTTTGTCACGCTTCTTGACCTGCTTGTTGTAATCGCTTTGAATTGTCTTGAGATCCTTTTCAAAGGTTTTCACCTTTTCCGCATCACTGATCTTCTTCCCCTTCACCTGCGCTGCCGTTATTTTCGCCGACAATTCTGCCAGCTTGCTCTGGTGGTCAAACATCTCAAGCTCTGCTAGCGCCAGGTTGTAGCTGTCGCGTGCGTCTGTAACTTTCTTCGGCTCGCATTCTTCTCCCGGTCCGGCCTTGACAATCGCGCGCAGCCCCAGCATCAGCAACCGCTCAAAGTCCGAATATCCCGTCTTGATCTCGTCCTCGACGCATTCCGCGAGCTTCGGTTTGCACACTTCCCGAATGAAGGACGAGTCCTGGCCGTCGCCACAAGGCGGCGCGGGGAGCGTGTCAACTTCGCAAAGCCATTCAAGGATGACCTGTCCGAAGGTATCCAGAAAAAAAACAACAATCCTCATCCATTTTTTGATTGCATGACAAGGAAGTACTGAAGTTTGGGCAGGTTTTGCATGACAAATACAAATAATTGGATGGGGATGGCTCTTGTTTTTTCTTGGATAGACCGACGGGAGATCGTAGTTGATGTTCAGCTGTAGTGCGTCCTAGCCAATCCTGTGCAAAAGCATCGCTCGACTGGTAGCCATCGCATATTTTTTCAAAAATGCTATAAGTCAAAGGTTTACATTTTGGTCATGTCAAGTGTTTTCATGCGGAAGCATCGCAATCGCTACGAGCTGCGCGGTACTTTTGCAGCTGATATGCCCGTCGCTCCGCTTGATGAAGTCCGAGCCTTCCCAGGGGAAGTAGTCCGCTGTCCCGGCCCCGGACCGCGGACTGTTACCGTCTTCGCCCGGAACCCGCGCGACGCTGGTCGCCATGCCGAAGTCCCCAATGACTGCGGTCTATCCTCTGGAAAAGTATCGACGTAGCTAGCGGTGGTATCACTATTATTTCAATATTAATACATGACAAAGTCCGTTTCTTTGTCTTTCATGTCTGAGACTGAGTCCTGTGTTTTAGCTTGACAAACTGCATCTCATTGTGGTCTACGTCCTACGTCGATACTTCTGCAATGCATACGTCGGTGCAGTAGGCAAGTTGCTCCGGTCTGGTAGTCTTTTTCCACAATCCTCTCCGTGGTTGGATGAACGCGTTTTCCGCTTTGAAGTCTCGGTGTAGGATTCCGCAAAACCACTATCAAAGGCGAAAGTAGACGAGCTATCCGCGCACTGTCATGCTGTGATGTTCCAAATGACCACGCACAACGAAGTTGTGTTTTCGACGTCTTCGAATGCTGCTTGCAAGAACGAGCTGGCCGAGGGAAAGAAAATGGACATGTTGAAGACTGCAGCAAAATCAATACAAGCCCTCTTAATAAAGAACGTGATGAAACTACTTAACTCAGGTCGTGGGGATGGCTGCTGCAAGTTTCATCTCGATACCCGCAGGAATTTGAAACCATCGGAGATTCCGCCCAGCCAGTGTCTCCCGGTGAATTTGCCGAAGAAATCCAGCGCAAAAGTATTATCGCACACTGAGGATTTTTTACAGCTGGTGGTTGCCAGAACATTGATTACACTGTGCGCAGCAACAAACATGAAAGACGAGTTGTCATTCCATTCTCGTCCATCACAGACACAGAGACAGTCACAGCACATGAATAGGCATAACCACAAGACCAAGAGCCTAAGCATTACAAATTCATATTTCATTTTTTCGTTCCTAATAAATTTGCAGTTATGCTGCAAAGAATATTGCTCATGGTACTAATGGTAGTAGCGCAATACTTTTGCAATGGATAGACCCCAGTGCGGTTGAAGTCTCTCTTCCGGAGGTCGCCGATCATGAGTGGAAGTGCCATCCACAGGCAGAATTCGTACACGAGATCGTCTTCCGGCGGGTATTCGTCCGAATCGTTTTCCTCTTCATGCTCGGAGTTCGAGTCCAGCTACGTTGACTCGAACTTGGCCGCACCGCGCACAGTGCGCTTCCGATGGCTGGTCCACGCACCTAGTTTAAATTTGAGTGATTCCTCAAGTAGTACATCAACTTCAACGAAGGACGCCACAGATACGTATGATGCTAGAACACCACATCAAATTGGATACTCAACCAACTAGAAGTTGTAAGTCATGCAGCAGTGGTAAGTACCGAGTAAGCGGATGATGTTCTTGTGCCGGATCCTTCTCGTATAGTCAATTTCAATCCCCAGCCTTTTGAAGTCCGAGGCGTCACCGAGTAGGTAATCGTTTTGCACTTCGTCGTCGTCGTCATCATCATCATCATCATCGTCGCCGTCGTCATCACTACCGTATGCATGGCAAAAGTATCGTGTTCGCAGTACGAGTACAACTCCTCGCAATTATGCATGACATTTTTTTTGTCTCAGATCCAGGAGCACGACAAATTTCACTTGTCATGCTGAGCGAATTTGATGAAGTGAGCATATTCCTTTTGCTTTTCCTGCTAAAAATAGATACTTTTGCATTTCATACGTCCCCGTCAATTTGGCCCTCGAGCAATTCTTCGACGTCCTGGTCTTCTTCTTCGTCCTCTCCATCTCCCTCACCATCCTCTTCCTGCTCAGGCTCATCCTCGTCCTCGACAGCTTTTTTGGGTTGTTTTTTCGATGATGCCGTCTGCATCTTCTTCATTGGAGGAGGTACCGCAGCTTTCATTTTCTTGTTGCCAGAGTTGCTACTAGCAGTTTTCTTGGCTTTTTTATCTCCACTGGAATCCTTCTTGTTTTTTCCCTTTAGTTGCGTGTTCTCCTTCACAAGCTGGTCGTTCTTTTTTTGCAGAACACTATTTGTGATTTCCAGCAGTATCCTGTGCAAACTCACGCCCCCACGGAAAATGTAAATCTCCATTTTCTCAGAATATCAATGTGCGTGATGCACAATCCCCTGGTGCTGGCTCGGATTTCGTATTTCTTGTCATGCTGAAATTATAATCACAATTGAACTTCAAGCACGTGGCTTGATGATAAAGAAGATGATGATGCTTCTGCACGAACTATGCACAACTCCGCTGCGATCGCGAACGTGTCACGAACATCCATGTCTGACAGTCTAGCAATTTTTCTTACAGACTCTGGACCGCCGGTCATGGGAACGTCGTTTTCAGTCAGGATAAACTGCTTCTTCTCCTCTTGCTCTTTCTTTTTTTCCGCCTTCTTCCGCTCTTCCCTTTTTACTTGGTTTTTTGATTTCGGGCGGAAATTCGGCACCCGCTTAACCGCGAATTCGATTGGAGCAAGAGGTAGTTGTACCGCAGAGGAAGAGGAAGGAGATTTCGACTTCGTATGGTGTTCTCAAACGCTACGCTCTCAACGGCTGTGACATGGATTTGTGATGCGAGAATCGGAGCAGCGAAAGGGAAAGGGATCTTCCCGGAAGACCGTTCGCTTCTTGCATTACAGATTTGGCACGGACCTCCATACTGTTTGGCTGTTCCATAATTTGTCATGCGAAATACCTTGACCGTGTCGAAGATGCTGAACTGATGGTTATAAATTTTCCATGACATCAAATCATGTAAAGCAAGTTGGGAATGTGACGCTTGAGAGTCCCATACTTCGACTTCTCGTTCTCGGGCTGTTGCATCGCTACTCTGTACACTTTTCCGTAACTCCCCGACGCGATTTTTTGCATGGTGGCCCGTCCGACCCATGCTTCCGGGACGGTCACCACCTCGATTTTGACCCCAGCGCCTGGCTTGTCCTGTTTTTCCGCGACCCGCTCGAAACAGGCCTCCCGCAGTCGCAGCTCTTTTTTCTTGGAGGTGTGGCCGGTAAAGAGTGTGGAAGATGCAGCAGTAGTTGAAGATGATGACGACGACCCGATCGCTGGGTAGTGGTACGGCTGCAGCAGTGCGGGGTCCCGCGGCTCGGTTACCCACTCGGAGAAAGACCCGGATCGCCGCCCTCTCCGTTTCCGCCTGTCCTTTTTGTTCTTTTTCCGTACTGGTAGATTGTTCCCCGACTGCTTTTCGAGCACCTTCTCAAACAACTTCTGTTGGTTTCGGTTGAGTTTCTGCTTGTGCTGTTCAGCCGCGTCGAGGACTTCCTGCTTCTCTTTCGAAGTCATTTTCTTCTTCAAACTCTCCTCTTCACTGGTGGTGGCATATGCCTTGCAACTATGTCTGGGTCGGGAGGAATAGGAACAATTGCGAGGTCTGCATAAACACGAAGGTCTACGTCAGAGGTCTTGCAAGAACTTTAGTTTTGCAATAGAATACCAGACGATACCTACTCCGCATGAGAAATCTCCTCTCAAGGTTGCCGGATGAAGTGAACAGCCATACTTTCTACTAACTCGCACATGCAGTTGACACACTTTTGCATGACTGACAGGAGATCGGACCGTGGGCACAAGTTTGCATCATATTCATTCGTCCACATCAAGACATATTTGCAGTCGATACGGCTTGTAGTTGTGGTTGAAAACCGCCGAAACCGTATCCAATTTGATCCGCCATCACCGAGCCGTGCTGCTCCTGCGAGGAGAAATCCCCCGAATCCTCCATCTTAATGTCGTTACCAGTTCCAGTACCGGCGCTGTTGTTAAAACCGCCGCCGCCCGCCCTGTATGCATTGCAAAAGTATCGCGCGACGTGCAACTAGTTGTGAATAATGGCTATGGCGTACCAGCATAGTACACTGCGACTGCAAACACGCTCAGCATGACACAAAGCGGAATGTGTCATGCTGAATTTACCTAAGAACAAACCAGATTTCTCATGCTCTTGCTCGTGCAGTACAACTCGCACTGGAATTACAACTACGACCCAGATACTCTTGCAATTGATATTCCCCCGCGGCTGTTCATGGCCCAGCACTCGAGATGCGGTTTCTTCAAAGCGTACACGGTGCGGCAGGAGGAATACTTGTTTTTGCCGACTGCTGGTGAAGATGCCTGTCTTGTTGTTGTTGGTGTTGATGTGAGCTTTTGATTTCTCATTCGACATCTCGCATGTACATGAAGAACTGTGCAGCTCTCTGTGGTTTAGGTTGTTCTGTGCAAGGTTCAGAACAATACAAAACAGAACTTCTCCTCTTACTGGCTGTATGGTCAGCCGATCTAAAATCTTCAAATCAATTTACCGATTTAGTCCTCGCCGAGGCCAGCCGCGCCGAGATTTAGGGAAGGCTGAACTGTTTCGTGTAGCAGCTGGTGTCGTGGTGACAGCTGTCCAATCAGCCCTGGTTATTCAGTTTCCTGAACAAAAATTCGAACTCGAAATCCACCCGGAGGTTGTCCCCGTGGTCGTGCTTGTGGGTTTAGGCTGTGGCTCGAATCGTCCTAAAAAAATGCTCGTACCGCTCCAGGTGTAGTCGTTGTATCTGTCGAAGTAGTTGCGACTTCAAAACGTTTTGGTTGGTGCACGACCGCAACACCTGACAATTTTGCGTACTTGTTACACAAGATGTCACTTATCGCTTTCACTTCACTGACTCCGAGGAATGGAAAATGGAAGTAGAACGCGCTTCCCTTTGCATCACATCAGACGTGATGGCATTGCTCCTTGCATTAAAAGTTCAGAAGCAGCATACCATTCCAATTCCTTGCATTAGAAGTTCATCCAAAAAATACCAGGCACCGCTCCCCCGCACTTCGTTCGTTCACCAATCGCTTCACAAGAGCGACGGACTTGGCTTTGCGAAATTTCTACGCATACGAAGAAGAAGAAGAGGGGGATGCTGCAATTCTGGAGGAAGCCATATGTCGAATCTTTATGCACTCAGGCAGTTGTCAACTCATAATGAGATCATACACTGCAGCATCACAGCTAGAATTCCCACGAGGCTACAAGAAGAATATTCGTTTTCGTTCTAGTTCAATCGCCAGCGTGCATAGTTAGTATCATCGAAGATTATACATTGTTGTTTCACCATCTAGTATTCTTTTTCTAGCCCAGATTAATAGCGCTTCCATGCCTTGTGCTTCATCGAGAAAAAGTACCTATTCCTTACTCTCGTCATCCTCTCATCCTCACCTGACCGTCTTTATTGAGTCCCGGTCTTTTTTACCGAGCACAACACTGCGGTTAATTTGAAGCGCTCTCAAAGTACTTTTCTTGATTTCATTCCTACACTATATTCAATCGAAATCAAATTCCGACTAAAGACCGAATATCAACCGAGACTATTCCAAACACAGCGACGATGACGATTACAAGACGAGGTCGAGAGTGACAAGTAAGCGTACTACTTGTCCGTTCCTTTCCAGAGTGATTCATTGTTTTTCCCAGTGACGCTAGTAGTGATCATTTCTTACTTGTTAATGTTATCGAAGGAAAAAAGTGTTACAGTTACACACGACATCGAAAATAGCGTATTTTTTCAAGGGCAGGCTAGAACTTTTTTCGAGCTGCGGCTACCTGTCACGCCTATTGCGTTTTCATTTTCGTGTCAGGCAAAAAGAAGGCCTCCACGTAGCTGCGGCTGCTTCAGTTCACTGGAATAGCTAAGAAGGCAAGCTGCTACATGTCGCGGACCTGATTGAGAACTCCAGTGACTGATAGACCGGGCGGCGGTAGAATGTCTCAGCGAAACAATAGAGCGGGCCAAGGTCAAAGCGATGCTTTCGACCTTGTGAGGGACAATGCCTGCTGTTTCACTTAGTCGCAAACCTGACGAACCGCAGCGACCGTTTTTGACGCCTCCAGCCTGACTTGCGCAACGGCGACACGCGCGGGAGCGAAAAGCGCAGAACAGCGCTCGCTGGCATTTGACGCGACGAGCGGCCGCTTTTGCAGTGCCAGCCTTTTCCTTCCCATCGTGGCCATGATGGCTCTACGTAATTTGCCCTTTCCTGGCCAAATCGACGCCCTGTCCCGAAAGCCAACTTTCCACCCGGATTGCAAAAAAAAGTGATACACACTGCATTTTTTTGAGGGGTCAAAGCAAGGCCAGAAAAAATAGCAACTGTATCACTTTTTTTTCGATATGTAACACTTTTTTCACCGGGCGGAATCCAACTTCGAGACTTTTCTCCCCGAGCGAAATCTTGATTCCCTTTGAAATGTGTAACACAGTAAATCGCAGAGTGCCGTGGGGGTTCGCAAAAAAACTGCTGTGTTACACACCAAAAAGTGTAACTTTGGCCAGCCCTCAAGGGAGGGTCAAAATGTGGGTGATTTTGCGCAAGAGATTGCCGCTTTTTTTTCCAAATGTGTAACACCTCGACTGAAAGCAAACACGCGAAAGCGCGAGCCTTCAGCTAGAGGCTCTGTGTCAAGTTTGCACACCACGCAAAAGAAGCTGCCCCCACGTCCGTGATTGAATTTCAGGGATCCTGCGGGCGCAGGCTGTTCCGTGGGTGTCTGAGAAAATATCTCGCCTACAAGTCAAGCCGCGCATGCTTGATAGCGAAACACTCGCGCTACAGGGCTACCAAAACCCTGCCAATGTTCACCCGGAGGCGGTTTGCCACTCTTGTGACCGAGTCCCCTTCCATCTGTATTCTCTGCTTCATGTTGTCACGGGATGGGGCCAGGAAACAAAAGGCCAGCGAACCGCATTCCGGGCCAGCCATTGGGAGCGGAGCGCCAAAATAGGCGCGCCCTCAGCTAGCTAGTGTAGGACGTAACTGAGGGGGCCGGTGGCTGGCTGCATTCGTCATGTCTCCGTCATTCATCAGAAACGAAGTTTTCGCCGACCTGCGTGCCAAAAAAATTCTTACTGAACGTATGAAAATATTCGGCTTTTTTTTTGCAATGTGTAACAGTAACACTTTTTTTCTTCGATACTTGTGTATTTATTCGTCTTCGCCCTGAAACTTAGTATAGCAGGCTGTGAATTCGTTCTAAAAAACGGAAACATGAATCTAGGTCAACGCTGCTCGAATAAAGATCATACTGAAGCTCAAAATCTGCAGAATCTTTCTGCCAGGTAGTATCACGTGCCTGAAAGACACAAAGACGCCCCAGCAGCTCCTTCACATCTGGTTCTGAACTGTTCTGCCGCTTGTCCGGCCAGCGGCCAGCGGCCCGCGTGCACAAGCTGTAGCTAGTTGTTTACATCCATCACAATCTCGCCGCTCGCAATTCAACTGCCCGCGCATTTCTTCGTGATGCTGCTTCGTCATACGAGCGACGTTCTGTTCGGGGTCGGAAGCGATTCCAATGAAACCTCTGATGAAGAGCCATCTGTTGCTATTGTAGTTCTGCTCACGGTTTGAGCCTCGACATCGGTCCAATCCTGTTCTGGTGCTCCACCTGGGTGAGAATGCGCGGACTTGACTGATACCAACATTGGCTGATCGGGGCCACGCGGGGCGTAGTTGATGTTTTCGTCGGTGCCACTGGTGCTGCTGCTTGTTGCAGGAGCCGATGTTGTGCTAAAGCGGGTCGTAGGACGGGGGTTTTCGTTCTCTGTTCTCAAAATTCCCCGAAATCGCCTGCACCATTCGAAGCCGCTTTTGACAACAAACAAGCTCGACCCGGAGACGAAGAAGTACTGCGCCGGGTTGCCTGTCTCCTTCGGATCGAACGTCAACCAACTTCCGACGCACAACAATCCCGTTGCCAAAACGTACAGCGTGCTGGAGTGGAAAACAGCATCGAAAAGAACATGGGCGGAACGGTCGCTGCGGCGGGCTGATCTTGCTATTCCTTGTTGTTCGACGTCCCGTCGCGGTCCCGGTCCAGGTGGACTACTTCTCTGGTCGTGTTGTATTTCCGCACTTTCATGCTGGGCAAAAGGGTGCTGCTTGTTCATCTGGATTCTTGCCATCGAATTCCTGAAGGGGCTTCCTTGCCCGCAGCTCCGGTCATCCTCTTTAAGAAAAGCGGCAGCAGTGACCGCTGCTGTTGCTGTGCACAACGGAGGGCCCTGACTGCTTGTGTGAGAATCGAAACTGCGGCAAATCGAAGGATGTGACGAAAACGGGACGCCACCTTCATGAGCAACTTGCTGCTGCAACATAGGACTGGCTGCGCCACTGGATGTTGCTGTCGAAGGCGTGGTCATCTTCACGTGTGATGCGCCACTCGAAGTAGAAAAACGCTCGGCGCTAGCACGCTAGCTTCCGGAAGGATAGGCCTGACTACACTACGGCCGAATCAGGTGTTGTAGTCACGCGACGACGGAAATGGCACCACGACAACTTCTCGTGGTCGTGGAGAGCAGCGACTCATAATTGTACCAATATCGTGATCGTCGCTATTCCTATTCGGCGGCTTAATAAATACAATCGAAGCTGCAAATTCATCTTATTTCTTAATCGGGGGAGCGACCAAAAGGAAGAGCAGTGCTTTGCGAACACTTCAGATTTATTTCTAAGTTGCTATGTTGAAGGGTCGCATTGCGCGCAGGTTTATTTCTACGTTGCTACGAATTGCGCGCGAAAGAATGGCTGGAAGAGCGGAGCCGTGCGAGGATTGATTTTCTGATAGCTTCGTGCTTCAAGCTCTTGTGCATGTGCGTAGTCTCTACCTATACCATAAGTGTGTGAATCTGCCTACTCATTTATCGAAGGGGAAGGAACGAACAACAACAACACTACATCTACAACATACAATGGAAAATACGCCTCGCTGCAAGTGAATTACACACACCAATAGAAAAAAAATAAAAAGCGGGCGAAGCCGGCCGCAAGGACGAGGAGGAGGGGCCCTTTATAATCATGCCGCAACCACACTGCCAGGCCGCCACTACAAGAGAAAATAACGCAGACAGGCGCGCGCGAAAGGCCCGCCGACACGGAGGAAAGCTGGCCGCGAGGCCAATTAGAGCACGACTATGGCGCTGCCACACTGGCGGGCGGGCCCACTGTATGCAATGCCGGGCGTGGGAGTGGGAACAGGCGCAGCGCGCGGCCGGCGACGCGGGGGCGCGGCGCCTGCGCCCACTCACAAGCACTTCCTTCGCCCCGCCCAAGCGCGCGGCGGTCGACGGGCCGCCCAAATGAACCGGCCCCCACCCATCTAGCTAAGCGCGGGTAGCCGCCCCCCCCGCCCGGACTGCTGCGGGCGCCGGGCCCGCGCATCCAAACCAAGCGCGGCCAGGCAGGCTAGAAACGGCCGGCGGCCGCGCACCGCCCCAGCCGCCAGCCCGCCCCCCCATCGCCCGCGCGCCCCGCGGGCGGCTCTCCTTGTTCCGCCGACGAATCTTTCTCCCTGGCTGCGCCAGGCACGCAAGCGGCCGCGCGCGGCGCTTTGCCAGTAGCGCGGAGGGCTTTCCTGCAGTTCTACGGAGCAAACTAACAGCTACCGGCTTTCGTCTGTCAGTCAAAATCGCGCGCGGGCGGAGGCGGCGGGCTAAATGAGTTGGGCGCACGAAGAGAACGGCCCGCCCCCAGCTGAGCTGTGCCCCCAAGATCGATGCGCACGGCAGGCACGCAGGCACCCGGGGCCGGGGCCACCATCCTGCCAAACCACGCAGGCTCCCCAATATCGGCGCCCCCCTCCTCGCGTGGGCCGGGCGAGTTGCAGGACAGGCTGGCTCGCGCGCCCACTCATTGGCGGGCCCCAAGCGCCGGCCGCCCGCCCCTTCCAACCGGCGTCCAAGTTGACAGGCTGCGGCGCCTCCCGCGAGCTGCCCAATTTGGTCCGCTCGCCGGCCCGTCTCGCCGGCCCCCGATGCATGCCTAGCACACCCCGGGGGGCGCCAAGTGAAAGAAGCGCGGAGACACCGGGCCGCGCGCCCTGCCCAACCAAGGCCCGGCACCCTGTGTGGCCCCGGGGAGATGCGGCGGCCTTCTGCCCTTCTATGGGACAAGCGGGGGCAGCTCGCTGGATCAACTTCGGGATTGCGCTGCGGATCAGTCCGAAATTGATCCGCGGACCCGCTTGCCATATGAGAGAGTGGGGGATTGACGGGGCCCCCCTTTCCTCAGAAAAAACCGCCCCGGGTTGCTTAGCCTTCTCCCCTGCTGTCCTACGCGAAACAGAGATCCCGACCTCTTTGCGCGCTTTGCCAGTGCTGCGGTGGACACAAACTGAGCATGAAAAACTCAGCGGGAACAAGCACCACTTCGTCACAACCAGAGCGCCAAAATATCTCTCTAATCATCCGTTCCTCAGTTCTTTCCATCCATTTTGAATCTTCTCAGCCTCAACGAATGCCCAGAACAATTTTGCATCTCATTGTCGTTCTCATCCGTAAATATCATTTTCTTCCGTTGCAACAATAAATTTGCTGCAGTACGTCGTCGTACACGTTATAATATTCTTTTCCAATTACCATTGGCAAACATAAGTCGTGCTTCAATTGACATCCTCTTCAGATTTTTTAATACAATAGTTGATCTCTTGATCTTCGCAGTGGAAGGTGCAAGACGAAAACAAGCTTCTAATTACTTCTTCAAGTTCTATCTCATCTTACAATCGATTTAAATCCTTCATCATACAGAAAAGCAAAAGCTCCTGACTGGTGCAACAGAACCCGTTGCGCACAGAAGGTATTTCTTCAATCCTTAGCCTTACTGCTGCTCGTTTTCCGAGGCTGTGGTGGAAGCCAGCTGCTCTGCTTGTCTTGCTTGCGCTGCCTTCAACTTCCTTTCCTCCTCGTCCCCCGCCTCCAGCATCGCCAGACAGTCCTTGTATCGTCCGTGCGCAAGAAGCGTCGAAAAGTCCACGTCTGCCAGCGTCCATTTTTCGGTCTTCAGGAGTTGTAGGTGGTGTCGCCAAATGAAGAGAAACCGGCGGGCGTTGCGGGAGTTGATGCCGCGGGTCCGGTTCTCCTCATCTTTACTTTCACGCCTCCTGCGTCCGGGCGACGGTGGTCTCGCACCACAGAAGTATTTGCACACCCCCATAAGCATACTCCTGTCTCCACCCGCGGTCTCACGACAGGTCGTCTTCACGCTGGTGTACTGATCGTAGAGCTCTTCAAACGCACGGCTCCTTACGATATCAGCCTTGTACGCGGTGCGTTCCGAAAAAGTTTTTCCGACGACAGTCGGAAAGAAAACGTGGTCGAGATCCAAGACCGCGGCAGCGTCGAGTGTCCAGAGAGTGTTTTTGGATCCAGAAGGATGCCGTCATGGTTTTTGCTTGACAGTTCTCTGAGTCTTCCGCTGCTGTTTCCTGACACGCGTCCGGTGCGCTCTTGTCGCCATCGGTCGTAGACGTAGTTAAGCTGTTTTTTACTAGTGGAAACGAAGAAGTAGACGATTTTGTTTTGAATTCCGGTTTTTCGATTGACGAACGCGAATTCAGCAGGCCCTTGTTCCGGCGGATCCCATCTTCTTCTTCGTAGTTCTGCTGCGTAATCAGATCAAACAGCGCGACCAGAACTGGATTGATTTTTACAAGAACTCGGGCCTCAAGCTCGTTTCCAGCTTTTAGTGGTGTAACTGGCAGTCCAGCTGCTGCAGCGGTTCGCTCCAAAACGCTCCCCGACGAAGATGTCGATGGTGCCGCAGAAGCATCGTTTCCAGCGTGATGCGGATCGTCTTCGTTGGTTGGTCCCGGAGACTGCAGCTGCTGCTCCTCACTTGCGAGGAAGATGCCTTGCCGATATTCAGGCACGAGCAGAATGTTGTCACGGTACCTCCACGCAGCAGCGCTTTCGTCCGGAGAGAGTCGCCAGAACTCGTTCTTGTAATAATTTATGTCCATTCTGGACCAAGTGCTGCTAATGCGCCTCGGGACATGGCCGAGAATTCGTGGCACGAGACCAAACGGGACAAATTTGGTCTCGCTGTTTATCCAAAAGCGGAACTCATGATCCACCTGCGCCTGCTCGTCCAGCGGCATCTTCTCCCACCCGAACCTGGTGCTTCTCCTCATGTTACTCTTTTCCCACTTCTGGCTCTGGCGCTCGGAACGCGTAGCGTAGTCGTAGTGCGTAAATGTTCGCGGGTTGTTTCGTACGCGCGTCCTCGCTTGCTCGAGTTTTTCTCTTGCGATTTGAAGAAACGCAACCCAGGGAAATGCCTTCTGGCTGAGAGCTTCCTCCGCAAAAAAGAACCATCGCCGTATCCAGATGAAAGCACGACCATCTGTTAGCTAAGTCTTTCTTTCTTCATTTGGAACGAAGCTTCTTCATTTACTACTTCAGCTGCACGCACAACGTGTTGCTGATTTATCGATTTGCTTCCTCATCAGACGCACAGGTGCTTCTGCGAGTTTCACGACATCGGGAGTCATCAATAAAACTTTTTCTACTGCTTTGCATTTGGAGCGTAGAGAGTGAAAACGTGAAAAGGCAACGCAGGAAGCAAACGCTCGACAAAGGAAGACTCCGTCCAGTGTTCGTGTTCATCATGGATATGCTGCAGAAAATATTGGCAATCCCGACGCGCCATATCAGCAAAATGAAGCCCGCCACCATCATGTGGATTCGTACTGACCGGGTACAGAAAGTGCCGATCATCGGGAACCCACAGTAATTCACAAGCAGACCGAGGTCGTGAATTTTTCGCTCGGTACCTCCCGGACGCCCTCGCTATCCATCTTCCCGCGCGCACACCTGCTCCGGCATTTTTCAGAGGACGACGATGATCATGTTGCAACATTTTATCTGACGATATTCCGGCACCGAACCTAGGATTGGGGTGAGTAGAACTTCCAGCGGTCTCGCTTCCTTCGAAGAGCCGGTGCTCTTGGACATCACGCTTGCTGGTCGCTTGACTACTGGAAGCGGAAGACTGACACTGAATGTCGCCGCGATGAATTGTTCTTGAATTCCCAGCGTTTAAGCATCCCCGTTTCGTCTCGTTTGTGGTGGCGGCTGCTACGATTTCCTCTTTGATTTTTTCAATCATCGCCTTTCCAAACGGAAAATCTCTATGTCGTTTTCGTTCGAAATACTCGTCGGGCTCGTAGTCCAGATTGCCTTTGGGATGTGGGTGAAGACTGTCGAGGGTGTCATGGAACATTTCGATCTCTGCGACGCAGCCGCTCGGTCGCTCAGTAATGGGCCTCACGGGTTGTAACACAAGCATCTGCTCTACCCGTCCGCCGCAGTCGCTGATGAACTCGCGGGTTAGCTCCCCGCAAAATTGCACACTGCGGTAGCGATAGGGATGGTCGAGGAGCCCAGACAACTGCGTCGTGTTGTAACCTAGAAGTTGCTGCATTAGGAAGTGCCATTTTCCTTCCATGATCAAGAGTGCCTCTGGATCAATCTCACCACGAGTACCCTGATGTGCTGCCACTAATTTTTCGCAGCGCATGTTTGGCTGGATGCGAGCAGCATCGTCCTGCAAGCGCGGCCGCGGACAATGGCAAACGACGCGGAAAATCGCTTCGACGGCGTCGAAGATGTCCTGGTCTTCAAAGCCATAGTATACGCAAGAATGGCCTTGGCCTTCACGCAAGCGGATGAAATTCGCCGTGTACCAAGCAAAGCTCTCTGCATCAAAATCGCCCGTGCTGTTATTGACGCACAGAAAGCAGTAGCCAAGTTTCGGGGTGTCGGACTCTACGCTGTACAGAGGATGGTCTCGATATTCTTCCAAAAACAACCATTCCGGCAGTCGCTCCATGGCCGGCAACAGGGAACCAACGCCGTCGGAAGGATCGAGGTGCCCAGCATCCTCTCCTTCCTGATTCGCCGACCCCTCATCGTGGCGGTCACTGTTCCTCGCCTTCCCCGGCCACTTGATCGGGAAGGCCACGTGTTTGGTCGTCACGCGGATTGTGCAAACCGCATCTGTAGTTGGCGTTTCATCATCCGCGGAGACGGGGCTACCGCCGTCGGTGTTGTGCCTGATCATTTTCACCAGTTCCTCGAAGAATTTTATGTCTATGTCTTCGATGGCATCCCGGAGACCAGACGAACTTGCAGCACTGTTGGACGTGGCTCCATTCGCCGTGAGAGGCAGGGCTGTCTGCGGCTGCGGTGCACGAGCACTCGAGCTGGTCGTCGTCATGTCGTGGTAATCACTGGCAGGAGGGTCTGTCATCTCGAGGTTCAAAAACGGTTGATCATTTGTTTCGCTTTCCGTGACAAAAAACTCAATCACTTCCGTGCCGTCTCCTATCCAACCAAAAAAGATTGTAGCTTTAACTTTGTGATGCGCAACTGCAACATGCAAGATGATATACGTCTGTCTTCATGCTGGTCATGCATTGCAAACTCCATTCATGCTGCGTGTTTCAAGTACAGGCTGCGCGTGACAGGTTTTTGCAGTCATGCCAGACAGATTTGTAGAGTAGGGCTGTTCCGCCAAAAAAGTTACACCTACAATGTTTTCTTGTTGAATATCTTCTAAAAGTTCTTCAATCGGAGAAGGTCCTGGGGAACATGGTGAGTTGTCAACAACGTCGTCTCGCATACCCGAGTAGGCTAAAGTCGGATTATTTCTGTTTCCCACATTGTTAGAAAACGTCCCGACTTCCCTCTTCGGCGTCCTTTGGCCGCCCGATCCAATCGGGCCGGGACTACCATTGGGCGAAGTACGACGATGCGGCGTAAAATCAGACCTACACATAGGCTTATGACTGCTAGCACAAGATGAAGAGTCCCGGTTCCTGCTAAGAGCAGGAGAGGTGAAAGGAGAGCGCTCGCACTCGCTGTCGCTTACGTTGTTCTCTTCTTCCGCTGGAAGTCTCCAAACCTGCAGCATTGATGCCGGAGCCACGCGACCGAGGAAATACAGAAGAAGAAGTGCTTTAAAATTATCGACGGTGACGCCAACAATTGGTTCCCCCGTGGTAGTGTGTGTTCTGCTATACTTGATAAATTTCTTGAGCTGGGGCGCTGGTACACGGAGAAACTGCTCGTCTCCGCCGAGGCTCAGAAACTGCAGCGTCAACACTTTCATCCTGCTTGTGCTTCAAGGTATGAGTTATCGTCGAAGAATAAAGTAGATGATGAGCTCAATAGCAAATCCAGATGAACTAGTCCTTGGCGGGTGGGGAAATAACGTGCATCTTATTTCCAAGCTCAAGCAAGTCTTAAATATTATTCCACAACGCTGCAGCTTTTCTATTGTTTGACGAAAAGGCTTGGTGAAAACATGTTGGCGACTTTGATACTGTTACTGCGTTCTTTTGCGCGAGGCTTCATTTCCGAGTGCTTCTTGCTCTATTTTTTTCTCGATAGCAAATTACGCACAAGAAATCCAGGGCAAGGTAAGCGATGAATCTGAATGCAACTCATCGAACTATACGTACATTGTGGCATCCGCGATTCGGTCGAGGCGAAAATTTCCTTACGCTCAGCATGCATCTTGTGCACTCCCTCCCACTCCGATCTCGACAACTCAACAAGCGAACAACGAACGTGGCCGCACAAAGGTCCCATCACAGGACCAAAGATTTAAGCTTCAAAAATTACAGACGCAGCGGAGCGCCTCGACTTAACGGCACCTGGCGCCAGAGCCTGGAGGCCCAGGGCATAGCTCGGCCGCGTTTCAAAAAGAATGAACACGCGCCCAAGAAGAGGTAGAACCGTGAGGGGATGCGGGGCCAGCAGGCGGCGCGGCGACCGCCAACCAGCCTGCCAGCGGTGCGGCGCTGAGGTGTTTGGGCTTGTACCGCAAGCGGCCGGCGCGGGGTGCAACCAGCGGCAGGCACGGCCGCCCGCCGGGGTCGGTACAGGCAGCGGCGCGGCGCGGAGGCGCTGGGACTGGCTCTTGTTGCGGCGCAGGAGCACCAGGTAGGGTAGCGGCTAGCTACTGCTGGCGGCCGGCGCCGATTTCTTCCGCGCTGTGCATTTGCCCGCGCAGCCATCCCGTATGAAGCCCCGCCCGCTTCATTTCCGATTCGCTGACCGGTCCGACCGGCTTCCTCCGACGTGGTGCCAACGGGAAAAGAAGCCACGCGCCGCACTGTTGGGCCGGCACCCAGCTCAGCAAATCCTGGGGCCCGGGTGGGCGCAACGCCCCGGGCTGCGACGCCGCTACTAGCAATGGCCAACGAAGGAGCCGGGCGCGCCCGGGCATGCTGCGCGGGTGGGAATAACACCACAAGGCACGCCAATGCGCTGCCCGCCCTCCTGGATGGATGGGCTGCGGGGCACGGCTGCCGTGGTCCGCCGCTCCGGCGTGCGGCCAGGGCAAAGGATGGCCGCCGCTTGGATTGGACAGCAGGGCGGGGCGAGCTACGCCGCGCAATCTACCCCAACAACACGGGGGCCGTTCCATCGCTTCCTCTTACTAAGGCGACAACGGCCCGGGATCGCCGAACGGATCCTCCACAGGAATGAGGGACTGCGACCGCCCACCCAACGCGCCGGATTGTGCGCACCGGAGTCGTCCACCGCGCCTTGTTCATCGACGCCATTGCTCTCTTCGTCCCGGCAGTCGCCGCGGCCGTCTATACAACTCCCTCAGGCGTTTCTAAACCCTCACTCATACTTGCGCTTTGTCAACCTCAACGTCATGTAATATTGATGCATAAAAATTGAAATGTATAGCCTGGCCTCACCCCGCCGTCGCTGGTGGCCCAATGATTTTCACTCATTCTTTCATTTCGCTCGAGTGTGTATGTTCGTAAGGTACTAACTTATATTCAGATGCTTTTTTCTCTCCATCTCCAACTGATTCATCTTGAAACCGGTACAAAACAAAATCGCGGTGGCCCGGTCATCATGCACGCTGCTCATTCGCTTCTTTCTATGTACTCTCCCTTCCACTTCCAGCATGTGTGTAGATTGATATAAACTATGAACAACCCGCCTCCATGCGCTGACGCCGGGATGTTGTATTGATCGTACCATCTTCCACTGCCCGACGACGCTTCGTTTCTGTTTGGTGTGGTCATGTTCGTTCACGTGGACTTCTTTGAGGCTGGTCGTTGTACTTACAACTAGGAGACACAACTCCGATTGTTGGAATTCCTCTGCACTAGAGAAGATGCGCCAACAATTTAATTGCTTTGCTAGTCCTCTTCCTTGTCACGTCGAGGTCCTGCAGAGCATCACCTTTAAAATTACTTTTCCCACGTCAGCGTCAAAGTTTTTTTCTTTTTCGAGAATTTTACGACAAATGTGTCCATTGAGAAGTCCGGTAGTGGGCCCACAATCTCCTCCCCGATTTGCACCTCCCCCGTTGGCTGCGCTCCCACTTCCGGACAGGCGGCCACGTCGAGCGGCCCGATAGCGACGGTGTACTTCGTCCCATCGCTGTCTGGTTTCGTGATGCCGTAATCCGTACCTTGATACGTAATTTTACTGATCCTTGAAGTTCTTGTTGACCTCGTTGGTGATTTTGTTTTTGATGCCGGAAGGGGGGCGGCAATAGGGTTGCTCGCTGAAGAAAGCGCTCCTCCTGATTCGTCGGAGACCATGACCGTCGTAGATGTAACAGAACTACCAGAACCTCCACTACTGCCATCCTTTTGCACTGGTAGTTGTTTTTCCCGTCTACTTTTTTCTGCTTCGTCCATCGAAGAAGATGAAGAGGAACCAGAACCCTCCATGAACATGATCTCAGCTCCGCCTGTGCCCCCGCCCGCTTTTGCTGTAGATTTTGAAACAGTTGAAGCGGAGGTAGAGGTCTCTTGCTCATCCTTTGCGGCAGGTTTTTGTTTTGATGTTGAGCCCCCGGCCGTTACAGTCGCAGTTGAAGCGGCGCCGGGGCCGGCCGTAGTGGGTGTTGATTTCATCTTGTTGTCCCCTGCTGATGATTTCGCTGCTTTCTTGTTACCTTTATCTCCATCAGTTACACCTTTCTTCTCCGAGGCCGCCACGATCTTCTTGTCAAAGCTGAATGCAGACCGGGTCGGTTTCACTGGATATCCACAGAAAAAAACCAATCCCTATCCATTTTTTGCATGACAAACACAGGACTTTATGCGTCTTTCGCATGACAAGTTGGATGTGGATGAGTGTTTTCTCCTGGATACTGGCCCACCGGTCTCTCCCGCAGCCGCCGCTTGTTCAGCTTTCACCGATTCTATCAACTCCTTGCTCGGCTCGAAAAGCAAGAGTGTTTCGGTGGACGTTTCGACGTTCTCATGCGATGCTGATGCAGTGCGCGCGGCCCCTGCCGAAGTAGATTGCTCCGCATTAGAAATGCAGTAGTTGATCCAAATAACCCGCACCTGCTGCTTCACTTCCTCGGAGAACAGTTTCACATTGACCCGTTCCCAGATATATCCAGTGCAAATATGATGTCTGGGGCTAGAAAAGTGGAAGTTGTAATGCGTGTCCTGCATTTGTAGAAAATCAGTGTTGCGTGAGCAGCAGAAGGGCCGCTTCCGTTGTCATGCGAAAACGCATACGCAATTTGTAATGCGTGCTAGACATTCAGAAAGCGTTTCGAAAACTTGTCATGCTTGGCTGTCATGGCAAGCGTTGCAATCAGCAGCAAATCAGCATCACAGGTTCTTTCCAGACCTAAACATATTTGCACTGCCTAAGATTTGAAACACCAGCTCTGCCTGCTCCAAGTCGGAGAACACGTTTTTCCCAGTGTCAAAACAGTAGCACTTGTGGAAACAGTCGAGTAATTCTACCACTTCGACCTCGATTTTCGCAAATTTTCCCGACGATGAAGCTGGTCCAGGGATTGATTTTTTCTTCTTTGCCTGTCCTGAAGTAGAAGAACCACCAACATTTTTACTTGCCGACATCAGTTTCTGTTCCGTCAGCGTCAATCCATACTGTTGACTCCGTTGATTCAGCCTCTCCGACAGCATTTCGCAGAGTAATTCACTGTATGGTAAAACCTTCGCCAAAATCTTCGCGAATCTGTCGTAGGCGTCCGCGATTTCGCTAAAACCCGTGAACCCGTTTGATTTTTCCTTGATCGCCATGGCGTATTTGCGGTAGACGTTGGCAAAGATGGAGAGGGCGAAGTAGAGGAGAATTTCTTGGAAGAAGAATTTCAACTCTTCAACCCTGTCGTTGAAACAGGTCGATTTACTGTGCTTCGTCTGTTCGGATATCAAAAACCGCAGTTCCACGAACCGCTGCAGCGGGATCTTTTCGTACTTGATGTTCCTTTTAATATTTGCGGTTCCGTCCTCCGACGGTTTATTTCCTGTCGCAGAAGCTGGTGGTGACCCATCCAATATCTCCGCGAATCTCCTCTTCAAATCCGTTGGCAATAGGTCCAAAAACCACTCCGCACTCAAAAACCCGCTATGCAGAAACGCGTCCAGCTTCTGCAGGCAAAACCGCTCCAGGTCGTTGCAGCAATCTTCCAAATCAGCGATTTCCAGAATTTTCGCCGCGTGCCGGAGTTTGTCTTCGACGGCTTCAGTGGTTCCGAACACTGCTTTTTCAAATTCCGCACGGAAAGACTTGTTTTCCGCGTTGAAACCCCAGTTGGTCAACAACTTGTTCCGGACGGACAATGGGCGGAGAACCTCGCAGTAGCTGTCCAAGAGCTCGTCGCCATCGTACAGATCCCGAATAGCACGAACGATGAGCCAGTCGTCGCAAATCACACGATGGACCGTGGGCAAACAGCCGTGATTCGTGTACGCACCGTGGAGCCACAAGGCGGATCGCTCGACATCGGTGGAAACTTTCATAGGGACGTTGTAGGTGTCGACGGTCTGCAGTGTGTGGGTGTTTGTAGTGAGAATGTTCTCGATCAACTCCGTATGGTCTACTTTTTCCGAAGATTTCGTAATATCCACGGTATCCGTTTTGACAAGAACTCCTGCTTCTGCAGCAGCGGCACCAACAGAAACTGCTAATGTCGGCAAAACCGTCTCGGATTCCTTCGTCCCGTCCGACAGCTGCCAGAAATCTGCAAGTTGTTGTGAAGAGGGACAAGCTGCTGTCGTGTCTGTGGAAGACACTTCTGAACTTCTCGATTTCAAAATCTTCAATTTCTCCTCCGTTTTTTCCACCAGCAACTCGTTCTTCCCAATCACAAACGCCTTCTCCACCGTCAATAATGTACCCGCGGGGAGGAAGAAATTTTCACCATCTTGTTCTTTGCCGCAGCTCGTATTTTTCCGCACCACCAGCCCCCGGCCCTTACCGGGAATGAGCTCGATTTTCACGTTTTCGTGCACAAAATTCGTCAGTTGCCCGCACCCCTTGCAGTCCTTCAAACCCTTCACCGTCGACCAATCCCAGGGCTCCGTGTAATACTTCATGAAGTCCAAGGCGAAAAATTTGCTGTTCGGAAATTTGTAATGCTGGCTGGTCAGCTGCAGTTCTTTCGCGATCAAGTCCATCGAAAGCCCGAACCAGAACCCGGAAACCAAAAAACTGGCAACGGCGGCGGGGAAATCCTGCAAGGTGCGCTTGCACTGCCCCTTCCGGAAGAAGATTTTCTGCAGGAATTCCTTCTGCTCCTCGGATTGTTGAACGGCTGATGTCGACAGGACGGTCGTTTTGCCGAGAATGTCGGACTTGATAATGTCGTCAATAGTACTAGTGGTGTCGGCGGACGGGGCTGACGAAGTTGTCCTGGTAGAATCGGCCCCCGGGGATGGTAATTTCGCGTCGAAGTCATCTTTGAGCAGCAACTTAGCTGAAATTTCATTGCAAATGGATTTCCACTCCTCCAGAACGTTGAATTCTGGATGTTGAGATTCATCATCACTTGCAGCAGTATTTCCATTTTTTCGCAAGACAAGTTCCAAACATTCGTCTAAGTCCGCATCCGCCTGTTCCGGGCAGCGCAACTTGAGCCGGCAGAGGGACCGACTGAGCAACTGCTTGATAAGCTTGGTCGTAGTTGCGGTTCCTGCATCTGGAGCTTGTTCTACTGCCGTGGTGGTTTCAACCTCCGTTACCGCAGACGAAGTGCTAGACCACTCTACTGAGTCCTCCGAAGCCGTTGCTTTCAGCTCCGCAATCGCCTGGGAGTAGAGGTCGTCCGCTTGTGCCAGGTCGCCCGCCTGAAAAGCATCCCTGGCGACGAAAAACACACACTTTTCCTCCGATTTCTCCTCCGGCTGAGGAGGCTGGTTGTAGCCGGGGGGAAACATGATTCTGCTACCTGCTTGCTCGTTGGCCTTGGTTACCAGACGAGGAAAGACAGAACAAGGACTTAAACTTGTCAACTTGTCGACTTTGACTCTACTCTGCACGCTTATATATACACACCAATTGTAAAATGTCCTTTACATACTATAGCAGGCGTCACACTCCTGCGTCGGTGCATAGGATGAGGCAAAAATCTAAATCTGCCAGGGAGGACGAGGATGACTCTTAGACTTAGCTTAGGAAACCTGTGCATGACTGTAGTTCATCTGCGCTCAGTCATTGATGTGCTCTCGACACAAGGACAATGGACAGCCAAAGCGGATGCAACAAACTGGTGGATGCCCAACCGTATTGGCGAACATCCTCGCGAACAAATTTTCCAAACGAGGGCAAACATTTGGCCTCTTCATGTGTCCATGGCGCATACATACTCCCCCCCGTAGAAATAAGTAAACCGACCTGACAGACAGACACAGATGATCGGTGGACAGGACGCCCTTCCAAAGTTACAGGCCTACGCATCTCTGCGAGCATCGCAGCGGCAACCAAAACGCCCGGCCCCCCCGCACGAAGAGGCGAAGCGAGGCCTGCCTTGAGAAGCACCATAGGCGCCGCGGGAGAAAAGCTGCCAGGGCCGCGCGCGCCGGCGCAGATAGTTCGCCGAGGGTGGGAGCACAGGCACACCGGCAGCGGCGGGCCGGGGACGCTAGTCAGGCGAGCCAGGAGTAGAAGACACGGCCGCGCGGGCCGGCGCGCGGCGCCCTTCAAGCGGCCACACCTCTGTCACCCCACCATAATAGGCCCCCAGCTGGCTCACAACGCACCGCAGAGAGAGAGCAGGGCGAGCGGCCCACCTGGTCGCAATGAATCAATAGCCGACGGCCGGGCCCCGGCGGGGACATGGCCAAGGCAGGGGGTTGACGGGAAGGGCACTGCGTGGCGCGGCCCGGGGGCCGCCAGCCTATCGCGAACGGGCCCCCAAGGGGCGGCGGCGTGAGAGATCCGTTTGGCGAGATCTTGGGGTCGCCGCTTCTGATGAGGATTAGCTTCCGGATTTCTTCCGGATTTCTTTGGAAAAAAATTTTTCGGGCTATTTGGCAGTTTACTGCTATGCTTTTGGGTGTTCCGACTTTTGCTATTCACGTTCCCAGCGTCGGAAATCAGGTGTCAGATCGTTCGTAGCTCGATTCTCGTGCGAGAACGGGCCTCGTCGAGTTTCGGCACCCCGATCCCCCCCTGTTAGGCCGCCCCCGTCTCGCTCGGCCATTTGGCCGAGCGGTTAAGGGGTGTAGGTGTTTCTTCCAGTCCCTTTTCACCCTTCGTGGGGCCTATCCCCTCGCCGATGCGATCCGATCACCCGTCGCGGCTTCGTTCGAACGTGCGAAGCCGTTTAGCCCCACTGGTAGTGCATCGAGATGCGATCGGCAGTCCCTTTTCACCCTTTTTGTGTTGTCTTCCGTCCCCGCAGCGATCCACGCAGTCGCAGCTACTATCGAAAACCGCCCGCACTACGTCTTGTCTTCTGCAAAGAGAGAAGACGTTGTTCCGGCCGTTTCTCAGGTGTTGCAGCACTCGCCCATTTGGGCGAGTTGGTAAGGGGCCGAGTTCGTTGTTCCGGTCCCTTTTCACCCTTCACGGGGACCGAAGGTTCGAAGCCCAATGTTGGCTTTTTTTCTTTCGGTGCGGCTTGTGCGACTGAAAGGAAAAGCGCACTACTAGGACAAGTAGGGACGGAGGGGCGAAAGTGGATCGACCTCGAAGGCCGAAGTACTTTCACACGACGGCACTCGCCCATCTGGGCGAGTTGGTAGAGGGAGGGGATGCTATCCCCAGTCCCTTTTCACCCTTCACGGGGATCGAGGGATCGATACCCAGCATTGGCGTTTTTTCTTTCGGTACGATTTGTGCGACCGGAAGGAAAAACGCACTACTACCACGAGGAGGGACGGAGAAGTGAAAGTAGACCAACCTCGAAGGCCGAACTACTTCCACGTAAAGACACTCGCCCAACTGGGCGAGTTGGTACAGGGTGGAGATGCTATCTCCAGTCCCTTTTCACCCTTCGCGGGGATCCAGGGATCGATGCCCAGTGTTGGTGCTTTTGGAAAATGGAAGCGAAGAAGCAAGCCGTCGGGATTGAGAAAGAGAAGCCAAGATAGAAGCGAAAGAAAGAACTAGATACTGATCGTCGGTCTGATGCGAAAGCACCGCAAGAAACTGCTCCTCCTTGTTTTTTCTAAGTATCTGTGTTCGTTTTTTAGATGGGAAGCGAGAGAAGTCGAGTCACGGGCGACGGGGGGCACGAAGTGAAGGTTTTTTTTGGTGAAGAGCGTGTTTTTTGTCCGGCCGGAAACAGAAGCCACCTAGCATCGATCGCCGAGTTTTTTGCCAGAGTCCCAACACCGAACAAGGCCTGCACGTTATGAAAACCCAGGTAAGATACAAATTTTGATCGTAGAGATCCACCACCTATCTACAATACTCACATGTTTCATACGCGGGCGATCCCGCGTAGCAGTCCGTCCGCTCCCCAGTAACGCGATGCCTGTGTGGAACGGATAGCGGCAGGTGCGCATTCGTGCGACCTCGGAAAGCGGAACAACTACTTCTTCTCGAGCAGAACAACTACTGCTACTTCGTCGCCCGCGATGTCGAAAAAGCCGGTGGACCCCGCGAAGCTGGAGGAGCAAAAAGCGGAAGCGAGTCTGTTTTTCAACACGACGGCGCTCCTGCACGCGCGGAAGCTGTGGAAATTCGGCTATCTACTTTGCGACTCCGCTTTTAACATCGCGCAGTCGTACTCTGCGGATTGGAGTTACAAAATAGTACACTACAGGTGCGAAATAGATGGCACCACGCAACAAGCACTACTATTCGAGAATAGTATTCGCGGCCGCATCCGCGTGTACGCGCATATCATGGTGAGCTTCGTGTGCATCACCTTTGCCATGGGAGGAACAAATACGATGCTAGGACATGTTGCACTACCTTGTCACGCCGTGTTGTTCCCATCATCGTCGGACTTTTCGAAGCAGAAGCGTGGTAGCTCGGGCTTCAGGGGGTGGAGCGAAGGATATGAGATTGCGGATTTGGTTTGGACGATGAACAACCCCGCGATCTACTTCAGCGCCTTTCCGAAATCCACAATCAAAGTGTGGACCCCCGCGACCGATTCAGGAGGATCCACAATATCGACCCTTTTTTATTTAGGGTCGTTCTTCCTTGCGACGGAGGCCCTAAAAAATTGCGTGATGTGGACGGATCGCTGCAAGAACCATCAGGCCGCGCTCATCACCAAGAGCGTCGCGGAGACCTATTTGGCGATGTGCGGGCTTGATCCGATCGGGTGGCAAAAACGACTATTTTTACAAGTAAGATTTCAAGTAGCTTTGTACTTCGCCCCTTCTCGCACTTTTTTATCATGCAAAAAATGTCTGTTTTGTATTGCAAAATGTAACAACTCGCATCACAAATTACCAGGTAACCTCCGTGAAACTACTACAAGAAAAAATCCACGCGCAACTGGACCACGTTGCCCGGTGGATAGGCGAGTGGGATCAGCAAACGCCGATGCCACGCGACGCGGCGCTGAGCGGGTTTTTAGACCGTTGTCATTTTCCCGAGGACAAGAAGAAGCTCATCCGCAAGTGCTCGGCGAAAGCACAAACACTGGTCGTACCACACCAATGCAGGCACCAGTGTTTACGCAACCTACACTCCTGTTACCGGGGCTTTCGAGCCCCGGTATGGACCCGATGGCTCACAATCCAACAGGCTCTGGGCCAAATAGCGGTTTGTTTAGCGATATGAAAAGACAAAAATAACTAGCACAAAGCGCAGCCGGAAGCATGACACAAAGCAGGCAGATTGAGTTTTTACGCATGACGGATTACGATCGCAGTATTGGTAGCTATCTTCGTGCTTGCTTTGTGCTAGTTATTTTTGCATGTGCATACTCGTTCTTCATGGGGAGACTATTCTGTGGGTTAGGTCCCAGAGTGCAATTTGGAGCCGAACACGTGTTGGAGCATGGGTTCCAAATAAACATGCGTGGAGACACAGGTACAAACAATTCTAGCATGACAAACACGATATTGGGCGGCGTTTCTCATGTACAGCATCGCTACCCCTCGCATGATGACCACGAACTACAAATTCCGAATTTGTAATGCGTTTCTTCACCGCAGCCGAACTAACACACTACAAACTCGAACAGGTCCGCAATTTGTGTTCATAGTTGTGAGCTGGTTCGTCATGGTGATCATCGGGCCCGTCGAACATTATAATGCTGCGATGTTGAAGGAGGACTTGAGGCAACGGACGAAGCTGGAGCTGCGAAAGCAATTTGATCAAGACGTCATGGAGGTCATTAACTACCTGTACAACAAGGAGAAAGCGCACACCGACCTGGCTTTTCTTCTCTGCGGCATCGGAATTGGGGCGGTGGCGTTTGACGAAAAACAGGAGCAGCTGGTACTTTTGAAAGTTGCGTTTCTTGGATACTGTGTCGCAATTTGTCATGCATTTTTTGCAATTTTTGCCATTGCAACTTCAACATAAAAATTTATCAGATCGAGTTCTGCAGACTGAACGCCCAGCTTTGCGTGTGGGTCAGCAGGTGCTTGCTACATTACCGCGATGGAGCAACTGATATGCGCGAGAGGTGGTTGGACATGGCGAGTACCAACCTCGACAGCGCGATAAATTTTTTGCAGAAGAAGAAGCACACTCCGTACCTGAGTGACGACCCCGGGTCGATTAGTCTACACACGGTTGCGCGGTGGTGCAAGAACCTTCCGCCGCTGACAGCGAAGAATCAACTGAGTGAGCTGGTGGAGTACTTGAAGGGGCGGAATCGCACGACGCGGAATTGCGAAAAGCGGGCTGGGCGATTCAAGTACCACACGAAAACTATGGACGGAAAGACCTCAACAATAGCCCAGTAGTACCAGTGCTACAGAAGCGCTTGCTTTCATGCTTTGCATCGTGTTTGTCATGCATGAAATAATAACACTTCTTCGTCTGTGCAGTGCTTCCCCCTTTCGAGGGGCACGGCGCCAAATCTGTCATGCATTTTTCACCCCTCTTTCGGGGGAAGAAAGACCAAATTTGTCATGCGTAATCGCGTCCCGTTCCGAACTCCGTTTATAAAATGAAAGCAAGCAGCAATAG